CCCCCCCAAAGTCAGCTGCAGGTGTTGAGATCTCCTCACCAACCAAAAAAAAGAGCAAATAGGCCAGTGGGACCGATGGTTCTGAGGCAAAGGGGCCAACAGGAAGGGTATCGAGTGCTGGGTCACGTTTAGCTATACCCTTCCTTCCCTTTCAGTGACTTGTCCTCCATACTTACTATGGTGCTGTTAGGGTTGTCCACCTTGGTTCCCAACCCTCCTGTGTTAGGTGCTGAGGTCTCCTCCTCACTAGCCAAGTAAGCTAAGTAAGCAAAAAGGCAAGTGGGACCCATGGTTCTGAGGCAAAGGGGACCACGGGAAGGGTATCTGGCACTGGGTCATGTTTAGCTATACTCCCTTTTTCTTTCAATGACCTGTCCTCCATTCTTACCATGGTGCTGTTAGGGTTGTCCACCTTGGTTCCCAACCCTCCTGTGTTAGAGGTCTTTTACCCCCACCACCAACAGATAAGCAAAAAGGCCAGTGGGACCCATGGTTCTGAGGCAAAGGGGCCAACAGGAAGGGTATCTGGTCAAATTTAGCTATAGCCTTCCTTTCAGGGACTTGTCCTTCATTCATACCATGTTAAGTTACCATGTTAGGGTTGTGGACTTTGATTCCCAACTCCTCCTGTGTTAGAGGTCTCCTCCTCGCCAGCCAAAAGATAAGCAAAAAGGCCAGTGGGACCTATGGCTCTGAGGCAGAGGGGCCCACAGGAAGGGTATCTGGCACTGGGTCATGTTTAGCTTTACACTTCCTTTTTCTTTCAATGACCTGTCCTCCATTCTTACCATGGTGCTGTTAGGGTTGTCCACCTTGGTTCCCAACCCTCCTGCGCTCTTGCAGAGTGCTGCTGTCTGTTGCCGCTTGTATTCTTTTGGGGGAAAGGAAGGGGGTGTCATGTTCATGCCCTCCACATACCCCTTCCAAAATATCTGCAGTTGCATCCTGGGTACCTAGGGATCTCCATCCAGTGTGGGGGCTTTCAGCAGGTGGGGCAGATCAGGTTTTCACTGTATAGTTCCAATGACCACTATAGCATCTGTCCACTAGAGCAGCATGGGACATGGGCCTATACAAACACAAGTGACCAATGAACACTGAATGGGCTTTCCTGATCACACTTACACCAATGATGGGCTACTATTCTGGCCACTGATACCAACCATGGGGCACTATTACTCCTATGGAGCACTCATGCTGGTTTGGTGTTTTGTTTGTTTTTTGTATAACTCCCACTGACCATTGAACCACAGTCTGGCCCATCAATAGTCTGAAGGACTGTAAAGTGATTCTTTGTTTAAAAAGTTTGAGGACCCCTGGTTCACATGCCGCACCGGAAATCCTCTGAGCACCGGCCATGCCTGCATAGAAGCTTCCAAAAGACAAGGGGTGGTTTAGATCAGTAAAGGGGCAAAAGGGATAAGTTCACTTTGTACTAATCATCAATATTGTAGGGCTGGGTGATGGGTTGTGCTGAAAGCAAATACGTGGCCAATTCCCACATCTGTCAGACACTTGCGCTCTGATGGGACATCCTCTAGTCTACCTGGAGGTGCCGCCTAGGCAAGGTGTGCTTTTCTGCTATACACGGCCTGGCCACAAAAAAAAAAGTCGCACACCCTGATTTTTCGTTGGACCACCTTTAGCCTTGATTATGACACATTCGTTGTAACATCATTCTGATAAGTTTATGCAACGCCACAATATTTATTTCCGCCCGGGGTTGTATTCATTGTAGTGATGATGGGAGAGTCGGACCACGGCGTGAAGTCTTCTCCAGCACATCCCAAAGACTCTCAATGGGGTTAAGGTCTGGACTCTGTGGTGACCAATCCATGTGTGACAATGATGTTTCATGGCCCCCTGAACCACTCCACCACAATCTGAGCCCGATGAATCCTGGCATTGTCATCCTGGAATATGCCCAATGTGCCATCAGGGAAGAAAAGATCCATGGATGGAAAAACCTGATCATTCAGTATATCCAGGTAGCAGCTGACCTAATTTTTTGGGCACATGCTGTTGCTGAACCTAGACCTGTCATCCAATGGAAGGCTATGACCTATTTGCTAAGCTAAATCCAGGTGGTACAAGATCACTTGTATGCAGCCCGGAGGTCTGCTATTCTCCATGGGGGCGGGGGAGGGGTTGGTGATTAGGGGGTGTAGAAAGATGTCACCAGCAAGACACAGATCCATATCAGTGCAAATCCATTTATTGATGCTAACGAATACTCAGAGTAACATCAAGCGCTTTCGGGGCCACGCAGGGTCCCCTTCATCAGGCTCAGAGTAACTTCTACAGCCT